GCTCGGCCGTGCGCTCTCCCCGCTCGGCCGTGCGCTCTCCCGGCTCGGCCGTGCGCTCTCCCCGCTCGGCTGGGCGCTCTCCCCGCTCGGGTGCCGTCGCCCACCTGAGCCTTGCCCTCAGGTGCGGACGTGGCGGCGGCTGGGGCAGGTCCGGGATGGCATTGCCCGGCTGGAGGCCGAGAAGGGCCGCGTGGCCCAGGGGGTCCGCAGGATCATGGTGAGAACCCCCCTTCCCCCTTGGACCCCCAAACTCCCCACTGGGTCCCTCTGGAACCCCCCAGGACCCCCCTGCCTTTCCCCCTAAACCATTCCAGGATTCCCCCCCACCCCTGACCCCTTTCTTGCCCCCAAACCCCTCAGGACCTCCTGACTCCTTTTCCCTTCCAGGCCTCCCACGACAAATCAGCGGCCAAGACGGTAGGAATCGAATTTTGGGGGGGTCTCGGGGGGTTCCTGCCCCCCCCGTGCCCTCACAGCAGCCCCCCGGCAGCTCCCGGAATTGGCGGCGCTGAAGGAACGGGGCCGGAGCCTCCGGGGGCAGCTCCGGGCGCTCGAGGCCGAGGAATCTGACCTGGAGCAGAGATTTTACCTGGGGGCTCTGCAGCTGCCCAACAGAACCCACCCTGATGTGGTGAGACCCCCAAAAATCCCCCCAAAATCACCTCCAACCCAACAGAACCCACCCTGATGTGGTGAGACCCCCAAAAACCTCCCCCAAATCACCCCAAAACCCAACAGAACCCACCCTGATGTGGTGAGACCCCCCAGAAATCCCCCCAAAAATCACCCCAAACCCACCCTGATGTGGTGAGACCCCCAAAAATCCCCCCAAAATCCCCCCAAACCCACCCAACCCAACGGAACCCACCCTGGTGTGGTGAGACCCCCCCAGGAATCCCCCCAAAATCCCCCCAAACCCCCCCCAAACCCACCCTGATGTGGTGAGACCCCTCAAAATCACCCCAAAACCCACCCAAACCCCCCCAAACCCACCCTGACGTGGTGAGACCCCCAAAAACCTCCCCAAAATCCCCCCGACACCCCCTTTGGTGGTTTGGGGGTCTCCTGGCTCCCCCAAACTCCCCCTTGTGCCCCCCCAGCCTGTTGGGGACCAGAGCCAGGCCCGGCTGCTGGAAGTGGTTGGTG